CATCGATCTGGAAACACGAGAAATCCTCTCTTCCTGCCGATCGAACCCGATACCCCGCCATATTCACGTGCAACCATCCCCCTATCATGCTCTTTCTCCGTATCGTAACGATAATAATTTAATCATCGTCATCACCCTTTCCACGGATAAACGGTCGACGCGGGTCCGTAACTTCGCTTTCGTATCGTCGATCGCGGGTGGATCGTTTGCATTGCGAAAGCAGGAAGTCATTACCGGGCAGTTGCTTCGCGAGACGGGCGCGTTTTCAGAGCGGAGTATGTAGATCGTTTGATACGTTCGTGCTGGGGTCTGTGCGAAAATAGTAATTACTGTCGCAACGTTGATGGCGTTCTTTTTATCCTTCTACGACACTCGCCTCGTTTTTTCGAAACGATTGTCCTCCCTTCCGTTAAAATTTCTTTCTTTTTTTTTAAATTACAAAGAAATTATTCTGTTGCGTTTTTAAATATTTTTTTTTTTTTTTTTAATTTAATTTCGCGATAAAGCAAATGGACAGATAATATCCTTGTTCTTTGCGATTGAAAAAATTGTTATGAATAGCGCGACTTTTGAAATTAATCCAATTTAATATAATCGAAATAGATTGATCTCTTTGTCGATAATATATTGAAAAAAATTGTAAACGCGGGGTGTTAAATATTGACGCTTGCCTCAATCGTTTTAATTCCGTGATGAAATGAGCAGGTACTCTTCTCGACGATGAGAAAATTATGCAGAGGATGAAACTTTACTTTATCAGCTATAAATATACTCTTTCATTGAGATAAAAATTAACAGACGTTTTCATTTCTTTAAACTCTTCTCTATAAATTTTATAACGCTTCTTTCGTGTTTAAAGGATTGTTGAACACGAATTACTTAATAGCTGTGTGTCTTAAACGTATCTTCTCGCCGCGTTATATTCTTTTCCCTCGTAACGTTCGCAATTTACCTTTACACCAGAATGCACCTCATATGCCCTTTACTGCGCCACGATGACCGTCGACCTGGAAACTCGAGAACTCTCGTCTTCCTTGCGACACGAAATGCGAGATGCATTGCCAATTTTGCGTACACGATGTTTCTATACAGGAAAATCCGGGCGCAGGGTTGTGTGTACCCTGTGCTTTTTAATCGCGAGATATCGCCCGTTGTTTTCGTCACGTCGAGTCGAGGTGAAAGGGTGTACAATGGTTTTGTCATGGTTCTTTCATAGAGAATTATTTAGACATTGAGCAAAAATTTCGCCGGTACTCAGGTATATTAATATTCCGCGCGGTGAATAAAACGAAAAAAAGAATAAAATCGTGGATCTTTGTGCATCCTGTTTGTGTATATTTATATAGGAAATTGAAGTTGTAAAAAAAATTGTAAAAATTTTAATCGAGCTTCAAGCAGAATTAATTATTAATTAGATGACTTCGATTGTTAAAAATTAATTTGTAAGGTAATTTGTAAGATAATCTGCATGATTTATATCGTTGAATAAATATGTATGAAATAAGAGAAGACATGTAGGAACATAAATCGTTACGTGAATGAATAATATTGTTAATATTAATAGCGGTATGTTTTAAGCAACGTCGATAAAAGAATTAGTAAATATTTGAAGGAATACTACACCATTGTTCTAACTTGCCATTTATTGATTTATATATTTTAATTCTTTTTTTTTTTTTTTGCATACGTATGTAAAATGTATGGAGCATCGTTTGTAATATCGTTTCAATGATTTAGATTTCTTTTCTTATCTCTTTTTATCGATAATGTAATCAATGATCTTGAAGGAAAAGGAAAATTTAATCAATGATCGGTTGTTCTCGTTATATGAAATTGTACGTATTACAGAAATGAAAAATTTGTAGAATGAAATTTGTATTATAATATTCTATTATTTTATCTTTTCTTCGATATTTTTATCGATATTCAATTTTTCATTTGATCATAATTTCACTTATGCTCATATAGACTCGAATTCTGTATCATATTACATTTAATTCTTCTATTATACGTGATTCAATCCTCATCATCTAATTGTGTATTTAAATTAATATTAATTTCTTATTTGAAATTTTATTAGATTGTACATTTTAAAACTATAAATGAATTTTTCATTATTAAAAAATTTGAACAAATCCTGAGTCACGTGCACTTGTAACACTGTACACGCAATTAAAATAGTATACGGATACATGCGCTTTAATATTAATTATCGGTGATAGAATGATACACAGGGAACGTATAAACGCGAACCGAATGCATAAGTCACTCAGGTATGCCTCTACGTTACTCATGGCAGATAATAATAGACTTACTTTCTGACTGAATCGAAGAGAATGCAGGAAAAAAAAACGTACAAATCGTTTAAAGATTATAGAAAAAAAATGAGATACAATTTGTTTGTAAAAATGAGTATTTTAACTTATATACAATATTGTGTATAAGTTGAAAGTACCAATAAAAAATCTTTATATATCTTATAAAATATTATTAAAATAAATAAATTATTAAAATAAATCATATTAAATTATTAACATATAAAGTAATACTAAATCTCTTTAAAATGTACTATTTGCAATAAAATTAAATAAAATTTTATTTTAATACAAATATAAAATATACAAAGACTATTCTTAGCCTAATAAAATTATTCTTAATAAAAATTTATTATAAAAATTAAACATAGTTTAGCAAGTATTTGTTTCAAATATTTAATCTAATATTCATTTTAAGCACTTGTCGATTCATGGAAATTTTTGATCGGTTTCTTTGAATCACTAATATAAGAAAGGGGAAAAAACTAAAAATTTATAAAAATCCAACTCTTTTGTATGTGAAGATGTAGGAACCATCCTAATTGAGATTTATTACGACGTTAATCCGGCCAATTGTGCGAACGAAGTTAAACCGTTGACCTCTTAGTTGACGATCCGAAAGGATACACGGAGCACGTGCCACTTCATACATATAAATAAATAATGTCATCTCTATATTATAATAAAAAAATCTACACCAATTTCTCACTCATTTAAATATTTACTTTGCTGCAAAACGCATTCTTTTTTTTTTTGAAATTTTTTTATAAAGTTTATGATCTTCCTAATATTTGGCGTGTATTCAGTAATTTTTTTAAAAATATTCACGAATTATTTTTAAAAAACAAATATAAAAAATAATTAAAATTAATAATAGCATAAATATCACATAGCTTTCAAATAAAAAATTCAATAAGTAACTGGAAAAATTAAAGAATTAAATATAATTAATTAATAATTTGTAATTGATAAAAGTTATCAATTCAAAGTTTTAAATGTTTGTGAAATAGTCACGCGATTCGCACCAAAAGAAAACGTTCGCGATCATAGCTCATGCATAAATCTGTGGCGGCATTTGGCGGTTGTTCTACCGCATAAAGCAACTTATGGCCCATTAACGTGAACTCACTTAGTAACATTACGCGTACAATCTGCCCTTGATATCATTCGTAATGAAGCACATTATGCCACCGCTAGAAATGGGTACCCATCGATATCATCGCAATAAATCACATAACCGCATGATTAACTCTAATAATTAAAAGAAACTTAAGAATACACCATATCGAATCATTTAAGCGCTTCAAAGTTTTTTTATCAGACCCAAAGACCTAATTTAATCTATAATACCGAAAATAATTCAATATCAGGTATTAATATTGTTTTAAAAGTTATTATTATTTTCATTTTTTGTTTTTGAGAAATATTTGCTCAATTATCATTCGTGTTTCTCGCGTATGTAAAAATAATTTGACCGAAATCATTGTTTCATCTCTATTCAGCAATGTTTAAATTGCTATTAATATGTTTAAATCGAATTAGGTTTGACCTGTTTTAAGAAAACTTTTTGTCATCTTGCGCTCACATCGAATGTTACGAATATTGTAACAACAAGCGTATATCCTGTTTTTGTGCCAGTTTCATAACAAAGCGAATACCATTTGTACGCGTAATAACGATATCAATAAGCTCAGAGAGTTCATAAATTCTGAGCTAAATTTCAATAATTTCAATAATTGTCTCTCATATTCCTGTGTTACGTTCGATTTAACTACTCGATTAACTATTCGATTTAATTCCAAAATTATATATATTGGTATATTTATTTTTTATTATATTGGCATATTATATAAAATTAATATCCTATAAAATATTCCTTTTTTCCATGTATAATTATATATTAATTAATTATATATATCTAATTATCTATATATATTTGATTTTATATCTATAAATATTTAAAAATATTTTCGATTTTTATTTAAAAAAAATAAAAAATAAAAATTGTTATATTTAAAAAACTAAAAAATTTTTAAAATAAAAGAACTATATAAAAAACGCGTTGAATACGAAAAAAAATGCGAAAGAAAACATTAATGAAAGAAAATTGAAAAATATAGAAAGCAAGATGAAAATGGGCGCGAAAACTCACCAGTGGCGCAGGCGCTTCCAGCGATCCAAATGAAATAGACAGCGGCAAACAAAATCCGCGTCCTCGTACTTAAGAAGGTCGACAAGTCCGCCACAACATTTCTCCACAGCATCTCCATGTTACTTGGTAAATTCTTTACCACTCTTACCACTTGCACTTTTTTACACTTCACTCTATATGAGCATCATACAATTACACGATCAAGTTACGAAAACGTGTACCAATTTCTATATGATCTCCGCATTTTCGAGTTCACGTGCAAATTCAGCCTCAATTTTTTTTAATAGGCGTAGCGAAAGAGCATTACGACGTACACCTGTGAGACAACATTCCTTTTAGTTGCATTCGTAGTCCCTCCTTTCGAAACATTCGTACCGTTTTCCATTCAACTTTCTGATATAGCAATCAGTATTTCTTCTTTTGTTTTTAAATTAACAAGTTAAATATATAAATTTTCTTGTTAAATAGTATTAAGTGTCATTGAATGCTTTCTTACGGTTCATTGTCGAATTCCGCATCTTTGTTCAAAAATATACACGTAAAACATACCGAAATTTGTAGAATTACAAACAAATTATTATAATTATTGTCGAACAAAGCAAATCGATAAATAAAATCACAATTACGAGAATTATTGCAACAACAAGCACAAAAATTTAAATTTTTCTAAGAATTGAACAATACATCGATCATCGAACGGTAAACATGTATATTCTAAATATTGAAATCCAAATGTCAACATATTTAATTTTATATTTCTCATCAACACTTATCTTTTTTGATAATTGCATTCTAGAAAAAAACTATAGTTTTAATGCATTCTTTCGGACGGCTGTTCCTTCAGGTAAGTCTCAGGTAACGCGGCACAAAACGGTTACATTCACCTGGTAACACCTGGCAACACCGTTAAATTTATTCGAAATTCTCTTAAATGTTTTTTATATAAATAAAAAGCACTATCAGAAAACTTTTTTTACGAAATTTTAACGAAAAGTAAAAACTTGCATGACGCGACGCATGATACGACCTGTCCGTGAGTTTCGTTCGAATTACAAAGTTTTGTTGACTGACCGTCATCGGCTGCGTTCACAGGAGGTGTAAAGTTGAATCGAATCACGCGCATGCTCGAACTGCCTTAGTGGCATTCAACCAGTCAACGAAAAGATATAACAACCAATCAGAAATCTTCTGTAAGTTAAATATTAGTAATATTTCCTATAGTTATATATGCAACAATTCATTTTTAAATAAAAAATATTTTAAAATTTATTATTGATAAATTATTAATATATATCTATATTTTCGTTAAGATAAATAATTAAAATATAAAATTTTTGTTTCTATATTATTTTATTATCGTAATACATATAAAATATAAAATATTTATTATAATATAAGCATATTATAATATATATTATATATATATTATATATATATTATAATATAAGCATGAAATTTTTTTTATATTTATTTTCATTCGAATAATAAAATGAATAATAAAAAAATTATTATATTAAATTTTATTATATAAATTTTAATATAAAATATAGTGAACAAGCTTTTATTCAAGCAGATTATTATTTATTCAAAAATATTTGAAATAAAAATTAAATATATAGGTATTTTTAATAAATGAAAAGAAAATATTTGATATTAAGAAGTTTTTATTGAATTAAATAAGCATTAAAAGAAAAATCCAAGTATTTTTCCTCCAAGATGTTTTCTTCTAGCCTCTTCATGATCCATAATTCCTCCACTTGTAGTTAAAACAACATATCTAAAAAATATATATAAATTACAATAGATAAAAACATAAAATATTTATTGTAACACTAAGTTTTGCATACCCAAATTGTCGAGATGGCAACAGATTATTAGTCCATTTTTCAATGTCATTAATTGGAACATCAAATCTAGGAGAAATTACACCACATTTATTTAACCTTCCACTAAGATTTACTACAACTTTACCACTGCGGTGATCATCAACAATTTCAAATTCTCCAATATATCCTAAATATTAAAAATAATATAATAAAAAAAAATTCATATTGTAATAATTATATGTATATATGAAATAAACATTCATATGAGGAAACTATTTTAGTGTTTTATAAATAAAAAAATATTTATATATAATTTCTTACCTTTCCTCATCATTACAGTTAAAAATTTAATGATTACTTTTGAACAAGGCCTCAGTAGCACTTGCCTTTTTCCACGTTTTTCAGCATTGTTAATGGATTTGAGAGCATCGCTGAGAACGTTCATACGCACCATAGCTAAAAACAAATGTATTTTAATTAAAAAGATATTTTAAAACTACCTATATTGATTGTAATTTCTGAATATCTGAAATGTCATAATACATAACCTATAATATGAATAAAATAAATTTAAACAAGGAACTCTTACTTTTTTATAAACTAATATTAACTTGAATAAGATATTAATCAATTTTATAAATATAATTTAAGTATAATAAACAAAACAATAACAATGAAAAATGTACTACTACTATTCCATATAAATATTCTATATATTTTTGAACAATATATTCAGAATAAAATATTATTATAAATTATTAAATTATTAAAATTACAGACTAATTTCTAATTTATTTATATTAGATGAAGTTAAAAAACTAAGATTACCTGCGATTTATAATTTTGTTTATCACAGCAATGTACACGTTTGTTTAACCGACTGAAAAAAGAAGTTACAACGCAGAGTTACCACATTAATCACTTAAATTTGCTTGCAACCTATTGGTTGAAATTCTGGGAATAAATAATGATTCTGTAATTTTTAAAATAATTGTCATTTATTTTATGAATATTAATAACAATATACAAGATTTAAAATGTTAAAAATATAAAAAATAAATGATTAAGTAACTAATTCCTTTTTTGAAATATTATGATAAATGCAAAAAGTTTTATATTCCCTAATAGATTAATTTGTCCAAAAAATTATATATGATTGGATTGTAAGTAAAGCGAATAAATAATATATTCTAAATTATATTTTTAAATTATTTAATTATATTAATTCCAATTAATTTTTTATATATATTGTTTATAATTGCTATAATAACAGAAATGAAGTGCGTATATATATATATATATATATTTAAACATAATGAAAACTGATAAAATATATACATTAAGAAACGAGATCTGGTATTCTGTCATTGTTCTGTCGATAAGATAGACAAATTCTTGATCAGAAAGAAGAAGACGTACCGTAGAAGAATATAAGCTGTGGTCAATTGATCGAACGATTGGTGATCGAGTGCTTTTGCTGTTCGGTAAATGTAAATGTGTGTTGTATCAACGAGGATTATTGTGCAAGTACTGAGTACTTGTCGAAACATGAAATCTGAAAGTCGATAGTAACCTACGGTTCAGGAGAGTAGTATAAGGTAACGGTCCCTTGCTTTCGTCATGTTGTCAAAATTGATGAGGAAGACAAAGTTGACGGGAGATGCTCACTGATATGGAGGTTGTTGAGAATTCTTTAGTCCGCGGATCGTCTCTACTTGAAAGGTTTCCCGGAAGTTTTCATACGAGAAACACGCAAAAAGGTGTAAGTCGTCAGGCAACTATCGGCTGTCCTGTCGGCTTCCTGAAATTTTAATATCGGTATCACCTGATTCTCGACTTGACTTGCTCATTTGTTTTTCGTTCTTATATTTGTTATTTTTAGGTTACGCTTTTTATAATAGTTTTAAATTTTATAATGATAATTATTTACATTGTTTACAGATTCTACAAGGTGTTCCCGCGGGATTTGGCGAGCTGGCGAAGCCAGGACGTGAATACTCGTCATCCTCGGAGGATACCGCAACACGTAATAAAGACAGTGGTATCCTCGCTGTGCGAGGTCAATCTTTCACAATGTCAGGTTTATGCACTGATATATTAAGGAAAAGTTATACAGCTGCTCATATACATGCAGAATGTAGCAATTTGGCTCATGACAGTGGCTGTCCACCATCTCTTACTAAATTATTGGATGAATTATTAAATCCTAGTAAAGATATTGGTGACAGAGAAACTATAAATTGGTGTAAATGGTTAATAGCTAGTGGTAATACACCAGAAAAATTTGCTAAAATAGGTACAGCATGCATTTTATTTTTTTTAACTGAATAAATTAAAAACATAATATGTATAAAAAATTATATTGAATTTAAATATTTAAATTAAAAAAGATTAAGATATAATATAATATAATATAAAATTCAGTTTTATGATTAAAATACATAGAATATAGAATAATATATATTAATATTACAAATATTACAAATATTATAATTATTATAATTCTACTCTAATCATTGTTCGACATTTCTACATAATATATTTTGTTATGAACATTATTTTAAAATCTGTGGTATAATTATAATGCAATTTGCGTATTTGGCATCAACAAGATTATTCAATAAATATATGTTCATATATATTACTATAGATATGAAAATGTAAATGTATTAGATATTCTAATACTTAAAAGAATAAAGTTCATAAAATTTTTAATTTTAAAATTAAACTAGACAATTTTTTGAATCAATATAATAGTAATTTGAGAAAAAACATTATTAAATATTGAAAATTTAAAAATTTAATTGGAAATTTTTTAATATATACAACATATTTGATCAAATTTTCATATATTTAAGTCAAATATTTTTGAAAAATATTTCAGTGAGAATGTATGATAATGCTACAACTTGTGGATTAGTTTGGACACCTAATTTTGTTGCATATCGTTGTCGTACATGTGGTATTTCACCATGTATGTCTTTATGTACAGAATGTTTTAAAAAAGGCAATCATTATGGCCATGACTTTAATATGTTTTTGAGTCAAGCAGGAGGTGCATGTGATTGTGGTGATGCATCTGTTATGAAAGAATCAGGGTAAAATTTTAATAAATAGAAAAATAAAAGTAAAAGATTAAATTAAAAAGTTATAATTATTATTAATAAGAATAATATTTAATATAACTATTTTTTTAGATTTTGTGATAGGCATGGACCAAAAGCAGCTGTTGATACATCAGCTGCTCCTTCAAATTTAATGTGTGTAGCAGAAGCAATGATGCCTAGAATAATTCTTCGTCTTATACAACATTTACGTGAAAATTGG